ACTTCGTGATTACGGTGCTAGTCAAGGGCAAGAATAGTGACGAAATAGACGTTCACAGGCAGCCTGGCTAAATAAGTGCCTGTGACAACTTGTGAAGCTTTCCAGCCTGATTTCCATCCATTTTTTGCCTGGAACATTCTAAATGCGCGGGTCGTCCAGATTTTCGTAACTGGTGCGAGTTGCAACAATAAACAGTTCTCTAGTAAGTGCTGCGCGTTTTAGTCATGGTTTTTGTTGGTCTATACCAAAATGTAATCGACAAAAAAAGATGCTTGAAGCTCTGTACTTTTTTCACCTATTACGTCCAAGCTGATTACATTTTTTTATTACATTTCTATTACGTTACTAAAGCCTCGCACACTAACTCCCGAGTGTGCGATGCTAAATTAAAATGAGATACCCAGAAAACCGTTGCAGGTGCCCTGAAGTCGCTGACGCAAATTTTGAGGAATGTATTTGGAAAAGTATTTGGAGGAGACAAAATACATTTGGTTGTATTTGTATCTTGTATTTAAATGCTTTTTGGACATGTAATTAGATTTGTAATTAATAACATTTTTGACGAAGTATTTTGTATTTGTATTTCGATACATATTTGCATGTGTTTTGCCCATCCCTGGTTATACCTTTCGAATATCTTTAATGTTCTTGGCAACGTCCTTCTAACTTTTTAAAATCTGCCGTAATAGTAAATTATCTTAAATACTTCTGTTGAATATCTTGTCCAAAACTGATATCCATGAAGCGCCTTCTCCAGTCGCCACTTTGATGCTGGTTCACTCAATTACGTTGCGTATGACTGAGTTCTTGCGATTTCTTACGAGGATAATTCCCAATGGCACAATTATAACGACCCTTTTGCAGTGTTTGGGAGTTCAATTGTACGTACTACTTAGAAGAAATGGTCGTTCATAACATTCCGAGAGATTTTCTATAGCCTGTGGCGGCACGTGCTCTTTGCCAAATCAACATTCGCCGAAACTCCTGCAGGCCTCGGGGAAGTTGAAGATAAGAAAAAGGAGGAACCTAAGCTCGGTGGATGCACGAGGATCGAAGGAAAAGGCAGAAGGCGCGAGACATCATCTTCAATTCCCGCTGACCGACGGACGTCCACGTTCTTTGTCCAGTTAGAATGGTTTGGTTTTAAGTAAATGATTTAGTAACGTTCCTGCTTGTCTGGGTTATTACCCATCGTGCACTCGAGCCCAATAGGAACGCAACAAGCCAATAAAAGAAGGATGATGCGGAAATAAACGGAAAATAAACGGAAATCACGAGTGTTCCCGGCTACCCAATGGATGGCGCCAGTATCTGTTCTTGTCGTGAGACATCGCTAGAGGTTGCAAGGCACTCGGGCGCAAGCCGTCGCGAGTTTGTCAGCGAGCCTTTAGAGCCCATAGCGTGCCCGTGTGGTATGCAGCTGTCAGCTGCGAAGCCTGACGGGGCTCAACTTTGGCTTCGCTTATTTTCCGCTAGGTGATACGATGCGATCGCCGGCCAGGTACATGACTCTCCGTGTTGCCAGACCAAAAAAAGGTACACAAATGCGTTCATTTCCGAAACCAATATGCACATTTTCTTAGGTCCTACAGCTATTAAAAAAAGAAAATTCTGTCGTAGAGGCAGAGTAAAAAAAATTAGAGACGTTTACAATTTTCTGTAACGCCGAATTAGTGCGCAGCTCTTGAGTAGGAGGAGGGGAGGGTACGGAGGGAAGGGTACGCCCCTCTTCCTTCCCCGCTAAATTTAGCGGGAACATTGGCAATGTCAGATGCGTGTGACGTCATACGTCATGTGTTTCCTATAATGACGGCACAATGGTAAACTTCGTGAGGGTAACCTTCGTAACCCACTTGAGGGTAACCCTCATGACCCTCTTGAGGGTAACCTTCGTGACCCTCGTGAAAGTAAACCTCGTCACCCTAGTGAGGCTAACCCTAGTAACCTACACGATAGTAACCCTCGTGACGTCGCGTGTGACGTCATTAGTGGAAACGTCCCATAATGCAACGCGCGGTTACGCCGACGCCGACAATGACGCTCAAGCCGGAAACGAGCGCCTAAGAGCTGGGCTCTAAAAGTAACCGCAACGTGTTTTTTATATGCCTAATGATACAGATATGATTAAAATGGTTTTACTGATTTTAAACACCAGCGCCGTTTACAACATTCGTGCGTATAACACGTACTCTGTTCTTCTTCCAATGCGGTACGAACATGTGAGTGCAGGGCTGTGGAGATCGCATGTTGGGCTATGAATTTGGAAACGTGTCATAGGTTTGTACGCCGAAATGCGGTTTAGAAACAAGCAGGGTGCCCGCTGGCTTCGAGTGCTAGCAAACACCTCAAAATAGGATGCTAGTAATCTTAACAACATCTTTTCTACACTTTTTTTTTTTTTTTTTTTGAGGAAAGGTTGTATGTACAGTCGCGGACGATATAAAAACCGCCCAGGCGAGCGCCTGGCTCCGAAGACATAAATTTACACAACGGAACAAAGCTCAGCTATCATCGAGGCAGTTGTGCGCAGGCGCAGCATTTCAGTGGCTGTTCGATTTTTGTCGTTATTGCCCGCTTGGTCGGCAGACGATTGCCGAGTCGACACTGATTTCGGTGCTGTTTTTGGATAAGATTGCCGCGTTCCAACGCAAAAGACAACAACGAGGGATCGTAGAGTTGCGAAATGTTTGTGTGCTGCGCGATAACACCTTGGGATAGAAGGTGATAAGTGGTTTCTAGGCAATTTCATAGAGCACATGCGTATCGTTGTCCAACCCGCGAACTTGTTATCAAATGAACGAAAGCTGATCGCTCAACGTGCTGACTCGGAGCTCTCAGGCGCGCTTGGTTTTGCTTTTGTCGCGGAACGACTCTGCACTAGGCGCTGGTGGTCGAGCAGGATGTGACGGCAGAATTTAGAGAGGCGCTTAGACCTCGATAGTGTTGGTCCTTTTGTTCCGATAGAAAGCGCTCCAGAAGTCCGGCTTTGGTCAAGGTGAAAGCGTTTTCGGCTGCTGATTGGGCGTGGTGCCGCAGCTTGCGCGGAAATAGCCAATGAGACATTTTTGACCCGATTTCAAAATATGCAATATTTTGGTGAGAACGGTCTCGCCAACATACAAATTGCTAGAGAATTTTCGCGGCTGTGATGCGCTTGACATTAATGCCGCTTCATCCACCGGTCAAAGTCAGGCATAGATTTGTAAATGAAGAGTGAGTTGCAAATGGCTTTGGACACGAAGTAGGAGACGATCACAAGTTGAGCTTGAGTCCGATCTCACGGCGCGGCGCTGGGTTTGTAGCAGACGATCAACTTCTTTCGCGCTCCGCTAGCAGACGACGTTTTACTTCCCTGTGCAAACGACACTTCGTAGCAGACGAACCGCGCTTTTAGCTGGCCTGAACAAACCATCTGAGTTGAAGATTAAAGCTAAGGAGGAAGAAGCAGAAAAACCGTTTCATGGTGGTGAAAAAAAAAGTTTAGTCAAGTTTATTAGCGCAGGAAAGCTATTAGTATTTAAACAATATCAGGAGACCACGCCAGAAAATTAGGACTAATGCGCAACTTCGGAAAGTCGGCCCCATGTATATTGCCGGCGAATAAGCAAATAAAGCAACGAGCAGATGTGTCAAGCACTTTTTGTTACACTAATCGGGCTGTCCGTAATTCAAATCCTAATTAAATTAGGAATTAACGAACAGTTTTTCAAATCAAATAGTTCGCCGAAAAAATATTGACTGTGCATAATAAACACGCAGAATAGCTGCGTTGTTGTTGGAGTAATACAAAAAAACAAGAAAAAAATCATTCAATAATGGCGATTCGGTATTATATTGACGCCACAAAGCGCCCGCAAATGTCTCGCTTCCCCTGACCGGCGAGCTGCCTCAGCTCACACGCGCGTCGTGCGGCGAAGCCATCTGCAGCGCGAGACTGCCCGGTTTTCCGACGATGAAAAATGATTTCAGCGGCCAGCAAAAACAAATCACACAAAAGGGGACACTTCCTTCCTGCCTCCCGAATTCCCCGTCGCTCCGAGCTCTGCGTCGCTTCTCCACAGTTGAAATTTACTGCTTCAATTTTACTTTTATACTCTCATTTCGCCTCGCGGGCGAGGCAAATAAGCGCAATTTTAGGAGAAGGAGCATAGAAAAAAAAAATATATATGATTGTCATGTTTATAACTTGGACTTTGAAAGTACAAACACGTATCGTAAAACAAAACATCCCGGTAACCTGCTTCGCCAAATCGATAAAGCAATGCTCCCTTTTTTCCGACGCATAACGAACGTATTCCTTACAGGCAGCAACAATATAGCAGTCACGGGAAGTTAGTAAAACAAATGTCTGTCGTAAAAAATAAGATCAACAAATTGGTACAGTAATCTAAGGGGTCACAACGAAATCAACCGATCAAACCGATGTATATGGTGCGCATACTCACGATGAAAATTGAGTAATCGAACCAAGAAGGACGATCGGTAAGAGTGACATTTAAGCGGGGGTTTCACCAAACATCGCTGAACACAGATCACTCCGGGTAGTATATTTACACTGCAGAGCTAGCCTCCCTCGTGAAGAACTTGAAGCAAACTGAACGGTTGCGAAAGATTAAAAAATAATAATAATAATATTAAAAGCTTACCATTTTTGTTTTGTATTTACAACTGTAGGTCGTTTATAAGCGGCAGAATTAATTATAAACTTAGAAATAAAGATCGAGTTGCCCCTTCGAATGCGGAGAGCGGCGGCCCAAATAGTTGAGCACTACGTCAAGAAGAGGTCAGCGAAGCATTGCTTCTGACCTTTAGGAAAACAGTAAGCCGCAATTCGCGAAAGCCGTTCCAGCAACACTGCGCCTCCCCCCGTCGGCGAGAGCTCTCGTCAACCTCGCGATTCAACTTTAGAGCGCCGCTGTTCTCTTTTAAGGCTCAGTCAAACCCCAATACAACAGAGCCCCGTGGAAATACTCGAGAACGCTCGGTGGACGCTCACTCACCTCGTCCAACGCAGTCATCTGCTGATCGGTGAGATCTCCGACGCGCCCGCTCATGGTGCAAGCTTTCCGGTGCGATCGGTCTTTCTCGTATCACGAAGAAACGCGCAAAAAAATGTCGGCTGTCGACGTCGGCAACGAATCCGAAAGGAGCTAGAAGAGAACTACGGGCGCTTGGGGGGAAACGCTACACGGGTTTCATTACGATGCGGATTGACAGCGACGCGACGACATGCAACACACGCACACTCTACCGAGAACAGACACGGACGTCGAGCTTGCGCTCCTGTGCGGAGAGCGACGAGACGCTTCAGCGCGCATGCGTCGCAGATGGGCTGCGACGACCGCAGCGCCGCCGCATCGTTGACGCGGGGACGCAGTGAATGGGAGAGGGCGCACAACTAGGAAACGATCAAATATGGCCGCTTAGATGGTCACGTGACTGTGCTCGTCAAATCGATGAAGGTAACGGCGCGCGCCTGGCGAATGGGGATGGAGGGTTTATTTCGAAGGCTCGCCTGTTCTGTTCTCTACTCAGCAAAAAAAAAAAAAAAAAAAAAATATGAATCGCGTCGTCTGCTTGGAGAAGGCGTGGGTTCGGCTTTGTCTGGCGTTCATTGATAAAATTCTGCAACTCTTAGCGCACGGGTGCGTTGATTTAGCGGCGCGCACAGCTCCTTTTGCTTACTTTTGCTGCGCGAATATTAAGGGAAATTTAAAGAGGAGGGACGGCTGGTCCATTTTTAGACTGCCGAGTGCGCCCGTTTCTTTTCTACGATTTATATTAGGAGCGCCCTGCTAGTTCTCAGAGAGAAAAAAAAAGAAAACGAAAAACGCTCTTGGACTTTATGATGATATTCAATGGACAGTGAGAAGGGGTATGTAGTACTTAAAGAGCAGCAATCTGTACCCATCACTAAGACGCGAGATTTCTTTTGCTTAAAAAAAATAGTTTCTATCGTATATAAACAAGGTTTCACTTCCAACACCGTGGAAACCCGCGGCAAAAAAAAAAAAAAAAAAAAAGCCATCATCCCACAATTACAACCAGTGGCGGCACGACTAAACGTACTTACGCCGGAGCATCGCAAAATGTGTGACAGCTCCCCTCCCCGCTTCCTTTATAACTCAAAGTGGATTACGTCAGAGATTCGCAATACGACTGTCAAACACCCCTACGACTGAAAGTGAATTACGCCGGAGCGTCGCAGCACGACTGAAAGGTTCAGATGTCTAAATGGCTGTCTAAACACTGGACGCTGCAAATGACGTGTTTTTATTTTTTTTATATTCACGGCATGTGCCGTGGGTTCTTACGTTTTTGCTGTCTGTGGAATGTTTCCTTTCGCCTGCGCTCTCTGATCGAGCCTTAGAGAGTGCTCGTCACTTACACGCTTTGCTGGCTATCTTAAAGGGACCATGAAGGCAGTTTCGAAGTTTTATTCGACGATTGAAATGGATGTCAGGCACGTCTCAGATACTGTTGACCAAGTTCTAGCCCGAACAGAAGTTTGGGTGCCGCACCAATCGAGCAAACAGGCGCGGTAATAATAGCGCCGGGAACGATGCCTGAGACCCCACCTAGGCGGCGGCAGAAAGGTGAACTAAAGTGCGCCGTCGAAGCGTGACGAGAACGGGCTCCTCGTCTGGCGATTGGTTCAAACGATAGACGCGCTCTTAATTTCGATTTCGGAGGTGAGATGTGATGAAAAAAGTTTATTTGAACGTTGGATAATCTTTTGAAGTTGTAGTTGGAAATTAATAGGTTTCATACCGTGTATAAAAGCATAATCTGAAGCGATCCCTCCGTTTGTCACTGGTTGAACGCATCCCGCGCTGCTACCTCGGGCGCGTAACAAGCATCGAGCAACCATGGACAAAAAGAAGAAAAAGAGGTACGAGCGCCGGGGGCGGAGGACTTTTGGTTTTGGTTTCGTGCGTCGTCTCGTGTTCGCTTTGCGAACTGGTGTCTCACCAATCATGCCGCCTTTATGTGCAGTAATAGGTTGCGCGAAAGGTCGGCTAAAGACGTACGGTCGATCGGGCGACGTTAGTTTCCACAACCTTCGCCAATCCAGAGTTTTGCGTCCTTAGCAGCATCTCCCGTTCAGTCGGCGTCAGGTCGCTGAACGGGAGCTCAAACTCGTTTGCGAGCGCGGCGTTGTCGTCCATTTCTTCCAGGTTTTCTTCACAGACCGCCGTGCACTAGAGCGAACCACGGGAACCGCACTGAGTGTGCACTAAATCCTACCGATGCCGACAGTGCTCCCTGACGTCACTTCTCTTTCCAGAGGCGAAAAAGGGAAGAAATCTGAATGTTTGTTTCGGTTTCGCCAATTTATTTGCAGGTACAGAAATAAGAGCCACAACGTTCTAGAAAAAAATGTGTGGCATGCCAGGACCCCAGTGCTTCCGAAAACACCTTTAAAAAAAAAAAATTAAATTGCCTTCATGGTCCCTTTAAAGCCCTCCGCAGTTGTAGTGAGTTCTCCAATCTTCGAAAATCAATAAAGGGGAAGGGACGACAGGGAGGGGGGGGGGGGGGGGGGGGAGACTACGAAACAACTTGACAAAATTGTATATGTTGTATTCGCTCATGGTGTCTCTCACAATTACATGTTTATTGCATTAACATTTAATGTAAAAGTGGCCCCACGATCAATTTTCAGCTAAGCAAACGAACGCCTTTTGTGGGGAAGGAACGTGGGTCCGAAAAGAAACACCGAGGTGGTTCAGCTGGTTGTCTCGAAGGCGTTGTTTATGACATTCCGAAGGCGGGTGGATTTTGCTACGTCGGGTAGAATACACATTGTGTAACAAACCGCCTAACTGAGCATATGAGAGGTGTAAAAGTAAATCTGCTAACTCCGAATTAGCAAAGCCCCTTGAGGAATGTAATAATTGTGTGGCGGAATACGATAGTACAGTGGTTTTGTTCAAAGAAAGAAATTGTGTAAAAACAGTGTCAAAGAAAACTATTAGGATTGTTTCTGTAAAAAAATCCAATGACTATCGATGCAGAAAAAATACGTATTTGTGTGTTAAAAAATAAGAAAAAAAAGGTAGCGCTTTGTTGACTCGGAGTGTGTAGTGGTCAGAAGTTTCTGCGAGGAAATTAAGATGTTTGCCTAATAGTTGAAGGTTGTCATTTAGCAGATGATGGGACAGCAGGTAAAAACGACACACACAAAATGTCTCAACAGCTGCGTTCTGAGACGTCTTCACTCGACACAGAAATAATAACACAAACTCGGGCGAAAGAGCAGCGAACCTATCTTTTATATGTTGGACAAGTTACGTTTGCCCTTTCTTGCCTCCGTCTCGGGCTTTAGTATGTCGAGAAAAGCTGTACTGTTTGCGTGGTTGAAGCCAAACTGAAAAGCGGGAGCGCTTGGCGCACATTCATGGCATATGACGTGAATACAGAAAACACGGCTTCCGCCGTGTCTTGGCTGGACGGCACTAGGCAGTGGATGACGCCGGGTTGTCGCTACACGACCGGAAGGCCTCCTGTAACTACAAGCAAATTAGACCGAACCATCTCAACGTGACTTGACTAACGGGGCACGGGAAGGACTTATCCGCGGATGTCTTCCCTCGAAAACTCTAATGTCACTGTTTCTCGTGCAATAAATAATTCATCTCCCCGACTCAAATAGCGTTTTCGCCACCGTCAACTTTCCGCCATTGTTTAGAACATCGCCAGTGTATCGCTACCCTGGTGCCGTACTAATGTCGATCGGCTGTTGGAGGAGATAAAAGGACTATAAATTTCATAGCTTTTTGATTGCTTCCAATAGCCAATTCACATTAGTATGGCACCAGGATAGCTATACACTGGCGACAGCCTATATAATGGCGAAAAGTTGACGGTGGCGAAAAAGCTACGAAGGTCGATCGGATGACCTGTAAAAGCCGATTAACATCCCTGGCTGGTGGCCGTGGATGGTAATTGTCGTTTAGACGTCATTTGACCGACCTTCGTCGCCATTTTGCCACTGTCCAAATTTCCCAAACTTTCAATTGATCAGCTGCAAAAAACTGCGTTAAGAATAGTATCCATGGCCTTACCATTGGCTTCAACAGTGCCCTTTACGTACTGGGGGGATTTCAGGGCCTGATACACATAATGCTTGCTTGCAAAGTGGGAAAAAACAAAGATCGAAGGAAACTTTAAAGAACCAAAATTTATTTATCGCAATGTCATTAAAATTACTAGCGTGTTCTCAAAAGACAGTTAATCGCCCAAACGTAAACGTTGAGTGAAAAAATGGCCTTTCCTTGTTTCCTGACATGTCTGCAGGGTGCGAACTGAAAGAAAAACATAATATAAATGGGCATATAACCAGCACATATATTCTTGTAGCACTTTCATAACATGCATAGAAGAACCTTGCTCATATATCTTCTTGGCTGTTACGTTCAAGGACACCGGTCCTGCTGAACGTCCATGTGCTTGAATTATATGCTTCATGCATTGCCTTCCCAGTTCTTATGCCCAAAAACTGCCACTCAAGGTGGCCAATATGACTACTAAGGACCACGGTGTAAGATACACTCTTTAGGTGAGTACACGGCGGGGCTAAACGCGCGGCTCAAGGAATCAGACAGTGTTCGTTCGACGGGCATCCGAAAGGCTGCATTATTCCGCGGCCACCGTGCCCGCGGCTGGCAGTGTCGCCGGCGGCCAAACGGCGAAACTCTGTGTGAGCGAAAAGAATTATCTCGTTGTCGTGACAGCCCGGTGCCGCAATTTTGCCTGCTCAGCGTCTGCCCCAAAAATATCTGCATATCAATAGACCGATCTCACCAGCCAGTTTGACTACGCCACCGTTCAGTTTTTCTGCACGTGCGACAACCTCGCTGGAGCTCTGCGCGTGTGAAGCATGAGGCGGCACCAGCCGTCTTGTGCACTGCTGCCTGCCTGCCTCCTGCGAACTAAAGTTATGGCGGCGTCACGGATAAGCCGAACGCTTGGTGAGATCGGTCTATAAGAGTCGCTTTGCACGTTTTTGCTTTGTTTAGAATTGCGACGGAGACATTTGGAACTCCAGTCGCCGTACGCTACATGGAAT